GCCTTCATAGCTGATGCTCGCACAAACGCTCTATCAAAGTTTACCCATCAAGCACTGTCTTGGCATTTTATACCGCCTGCGGCGCCGCACATGGGGGGTCTGTGGGAGTCAGGAGTAAAAAGTTTTAAAACTCACTTTAAAAAGATAGCCTCAGGATGCAAATATACTTTCGAGGAACTCAGTACGCTCTTATGTAGAATTGAAGCCTCAACTCACGACCTCTGAGCCCAGCTTCAAATGAGCGAACTGACCTAGAGCCCCTCACTCCAGGTCACTTCTTAATCGGTGTACACATATTAGCCCCACCAGAAATCGATGTAAACGAGAACCCTGCATCGATAGTTAACCGGTGGCAGAAGCTAAAGGCATTGCATCAGCACTTCTGCAGAAGATGGAAGGCAGAATATCTGACGGAAATGCAAAAGCGAACTAAATGGAAGCTCTCTCAAAAGAACATGGAACTTGGAGACCTTGTCGTCATAAAGGAGGACAACCTGCCACCTAACGAGTGGAGACTGGGTAGAGTGGTGAAGTTACACCCAGGTTCCGACAACCGAGTGCGGGTAGTTGATCTTATGACCGAAAAGGGACAGGTAAGAAGACCACTGGTCAAACTAGTTCTACTACCAGGCAACACTACAGAAACCAATGAGCCGACATCTTCTAAAGAAACAAGATCTAATTGATGATTTTGCAATCCTGATCCGTAATCATTTCATGCACCCTAACATGTCTATACTCTCACGTCAATAAATTATAATAATAATATTGTTTAGGTATATCAGTTATGTATATGCGCATGCATCACATCACAAGTAAATGACTCACCAATTTAGAAATTCGAAGCTCCAGAAACAAGCGCTCATGTCCTGATGTTCCGGATCTAAACTGACCCTTATGGTACTGCTATGTGGGCATGTTCAACCAGGTTTTTGTCGCACCATTCGTTGGGATGGATTAGTGTCCAATACAATAGCCAGTAAACTAAATTTATTTGATTCATCTTCATCCGTTTTATCCATCTTTGAGAGATATATGTTATTTTATTTTTTTTTTTAATTAACAAACAACTAGGTTTAAAACGATACCACCGAGTACATCAGATTTTGTAACATTTTTGTGGAAACGCCTCTTTTAATTTTGCGAATTTTCACACGAGGTAGATTTATGTATATGCACGTATTTATACACTGTTCTGCTAAAGTTAATTGGGGGGACTTGGAATTGTTGGAAGGCATTAGTTGACAGACCGTTTTACACCGGGGCAACTGTGGCATTCAACTAAAAGTTGCCACAAAAATTAAAACAAGGTCGTCAACTTTCTGCGATACAAAACGGAGACTGGGTAGACACTAGGGATGCATGTCAAAAAAATACATCGATGTTTTCTTCGATTTGATGCATCGAAATATAGCATCGATACATATCGATGTATCGTATAAAAACATCGATATTTTCGATGCATCGAATGAAAATATCGGCATTTTCTTTCAATTAAAAATATACAACAAGAAAATGAAACAATCGTAACTTCGATTAGTGTTTAAGTAATAACTCGCAGTGAAATGTATTAATTGATTTAAACTGTTACAAATCCCAGTTTTTTCTGTTCTTTTGAGAAGGCTTCGAAATTTTCGGCCGGTATGGAAGTGGCGACAATTGTTAAATATTTGTAAGCATAATACAATAATATAAAGTGTGCCAGCTAGCAATGACATTATATTTCAGTCACTTATTTGGCAATTTATTATCATAATTTTTTCCTTCATTTCACTTTCACCCTTTTGACAGAGATATTATGAAGTTTTTTGATTTGAGTAAAAAATAAAAAAAATAAACATGTCATTAAATTCTTTTCGCTTTGCAAAAGTACACACAACGTCGCATTACTGATGTTTTCAGCCCATAAGGATGAGAACATGAGCCGAAATCAGGCAGAGGTATGCAACAAAACCAAGTGTTAATGCAAGAAACTCAAATTTTGCTTTGAAATAAGCGTACATCAAACTGGCTTCCACACTTTATATTATTTCTCTATGTTGATGAGCTATGTGAAACCATTTTGGAATATGCTGTTTAAAAACTGTCCAAATTTCCAAATGGTTTTAGAGAGTCAATATCATATCAATTAATATCATATTGTAGATGGTATTTGGCACCAAATGTTTCTAATAATAAAGTAGCAATTTATTAATGCAATAACATTTTGGATATTATTAATAGAATGTATATTCTAATAGTGAATAAATAGTGAGTTACTGGAGCGAAGAGTTTGAAAGCATACAAAATAATTTTAGTATGTAAAGTGCAAGGCGAATCTGTACAAGGTGGTTTATCGGACCCGATGATTTCACGACGACTTTGTACCTTTTGTTTAAATGATGTGTTTGCTGAAATTTTGTTTTGTACTGTTGTCAATGTGCGTATAATTTGTTATTGTAATTTTTGTTTTTGAGCTGTTAACACCACCTTGTATAAATTCGTCTTGGTACAGTGTACATTGCACACAAATGTCGATGCATGGAAAAATATACATCGATATATCGATGTATATCGGAAGGTCCAAAACATCGCTTTTATTCGATACATCGAATAGCAAACATCGATGTTTCCGATGTATCGATGTTTTTTTTGCATCCCTAGTAGACACTTATTGCATACAATTTGCTTAACATTAGCCGTTTAACCGCACCTATACACTTTAATGGACATTACACCCAACATATTTAGTTATGCGTCGTTTTTTTCTGGAAACCTATTGCATGACCACATAGCAGAATTGGTAATTCTCTAGTGTAGGGTAACAACCCCTAAAAAAGGTCCGGAAAAGTCGGGAGGGGTACCAAATGACGCGTTTCGGCCCCCTATTAACAATCTGGAGGTGGAGGGTTAATATTATTAACCATTTAAAACTTATAAACAAAAAACTTTTGTTAAATTTCGTTGTTTTCTATGAGCAATTACCACGTCAAAAACGCACTAAATAACCAGTTTACACTTTTAAAACACTATTAAAACGTCTCCGGTTATTATTTTATGCAAGCCAAATCATTTATTCACTTTTACTTTATATATTTCGGTACTAAAACAGAGTAAACAAACTTTCCGCCTGCCAAAATTATTGTAACCTCAAATCGCTGGTATTGCCACTTTATTTCACATTTCATTTGCGCTATTATACTCAGTTTACACTATACACTTCTTCTTTTTTTACTTTCACCTAAATAAGATATTCTAACCAAAATATAATAGCAAATTTCGCTATACCATGGCAGCGCTACTTTTATCGTTTACATTTTGGTTAGAATATCTTATTTAGGTGAAAGTAAAAAAAGAAGTGTATAGTATAAACTGAGTATAATAGCGCAAATGAAATGTGAAATAAAGTGGCAATACCAGCGATTTGAGGTTACAATAATTTTGGCAGGCGCAAAGTTTGTTTACTGTTTTATTAACGAAATATATAAAATAAAAGTGAATAAATAATTTGGTTTGCATAAAATAATAACCGGAGGCGTTTTAATAGTGTTTTAAAAGTGTAAACTGGTTATTTAGTGCATTTTTGACGTGGCAATTGCTCATAGAAAACAACGAAATTTAACAAAAGTTTTTTGTTTATAACTTTTAAATGGTTAATAATATTAACCCTCCCCCTCCAGATTGTTAATAGGGGGACCGAAACGCGTCCTTTGGTACCCCTCCCGACTTTTGCGGACCTTTTTTAGGGGTTGTTACCCTACACTAGAGAATTACCGCAGAATTATATAGTTAGTATGTTCCTTTGAACTTCGGACTAAAACCTGTGGAACTGTCAAACTACAATTTTACGCTCTCAAATGAGAGTAAAAGGAGAACAGATGCAGAAGTGCATAGGAACGCAAAAAGCACTATTTCCTGTAAAAACGTTAGACGGTTTGTTTACATGTCATTGGTACTACACCGATTTGGCTGAAATATCACTAAATAATTATTAAAATTTATACATATTCAAATATTTCGTTGTTTACTTCCATTTTTTAACAAATATAAGCTTCTTTGCTTTCACTGCTTTCTGTTTTTGTTTGCACATGTAAATCAGCTGATCGTTTGACACTTTTCATGAACTTACAGGAAAAAAATCTCCGGACTAAATCCTGTAACTTCTGACTAGGAACAGTTGCTCATTTACTCTCTCAAATGTGTTCCCACTTACAGGTTTTGTGTCAATAGGAACGACTTCCTGTAAGTTCTGACTAAATCCTGTAAACCGGACTGCTATTGGAACAGACTAATTATTACTTCTTTTGGATTTGTGGAACACACTACACACACTGAGGTTTCCAATCATGGACCATTTCCTATTTCAAACATGATACAAATATTTATTTTTTGTATCATGTCCATCACTTCACATTTTTATGTGTTTTAAACATTGCACTTATCACTTTTCCATATCACTTTTTCGTCATAAGTAATGCACATCTTTTGTTTATTTGTGTTTAGCTGTTTGCACTTTTGATAACCATAGAATCGATTTCTATAGGGTAGTGGTGCAATTTGTGGTAATCACGTTCTGCTTTATTTAGGGTATGCAGTGCAGTTTATGGTTTTCGAGTAAATTTCTTTAATAGGGTTGAATCAATTTATTCTTTTTACTACTTTTTTGCGCGTTGTTGCAAATAACGCTGACGACACAGAATCAGTTTTGCCGCAAGCAATTTCATTGTCAAAATGTCGTCTTCAAGAAAACAATGTAACTAACTAGTTTCTGAAGACCATTTTCCATTTTTAGTTCCATTGTAGATTAACATTTTAGCTTGCGGTAGCTTATTATTTTTTATCTTCACAAAATTGAAAGCAAAATTGAAACTCAATTGAAAGGAAAGAATTGAAAGCGAGTTGCCCGTTCAAGTAATAAAGAAGAGTGTGTTAGTGAAAAACCGCGAGTGTATTGAAGATTGAAAGGGAATGATAAGCGCAGATTTATGCGGAAAAATGAAAAACTATAAATGAATGCTCACCAGTCGATAGAGAAATCCATATCTTGCATCCATATGTATATTTGGGGACCGACTGATGGATCCAAAGACGCCTGCATGGAAAGGACTCCTAATCCCAAATTTTTCGGTCCAATGCCCAATATAAGCGAATCGATTAACCACCACCTTATAATTTGAAGAGGTATTTTTATAATCACCGCAACTTACACTACCGATACTGCTTAGGTTCCTCGTGGTTTGTGAATGGCAATGGCCATTCACGGAAATAGGAAACGTAGCCCACAAAAAAATCCACATGCGTCCCACAAGTAGCACGGTTACCTGCCCGCCAGCTTTATGCCGTAGCACACTAGCAATTTTTATCGATCAAGTTTGCGCAAACTTTCGCTAAAACTGGTTCAGAAAATTGCATGTAATCCGAAAATTATACTTAAATAAATCAAATAAACTCCTCACATTACATTATCGCTGGCCTGTAAGTTAATATTACTAGTCTAATTCTTTTTTGAGCACAAAAGAATATATTTCCAAAAATACCATAAATTGCATGCTGTAATAGGTGAATCTTCTGGCAATATTAACCCTTAGGTAAGCAACCAACAATTCGGCCAGGCAACCCTGTCGACACGAGCTGCACACCCTGTCGAGGCGAGCTGCACACGATCAGTTCACTCGTCAATCATTAAGGGGTCATAACACTATCGAATGTTTACGTCAGCAAGATCAAAACAATGCAAGAATGATAAAATATTAGAAGTTTTGAGATTGAAAACGTACTTAATACCCATTTATATTGCTCGTCAACACAAAATGTTCTTGTCTTGCGCCATATTCCTAACCTGATCGGAATATTCCTAACCTGATCGGATACTCCCTAACGTGCAGGTTCTGCGGCAATAAGCACCCAATCAGGCTTTGTCCTGTATTTCGGCCTAAGGCACCCGAAGACCGTTTACGCGATGTCTTATTGCATCGGTATTGCTCCAACTGCTTAGCCGGGACCCATCGAACCGCCCACTGTACAAATGAGGGTAGATGTCGACGCTGCCAGGAGTCTCACCACACACTACTACATATCGACGACGCAGCCGAAAAGCGCACGACTCGTCGCCCGATGCTTTCCGCCCAGATACTTCGGCCGGAATGGAAACGTATGCTTTCCATCCGGATAACGCAAGCGGATCGGAACCTCTTCGTTTCCGACCGCTACTACAACACGAGCTCCAACGACAGGGTTGGGAAATTGCAGAATACCGACCTCCTCTCACTTGGCAGCGAACACAACCACCACGTCGGCGAAACCGTCCGCGCCAACATGGGAGAGTGGAATCGAGTGCATTCCACCGCCCAATGAGAAGCGGTTTCCGAAGTGGGCTAGCAACGAATCCACAAAGAGCAACATACGCGCTTCAATGCTTGACGCCAGTGGCACCAACCGCGGTAGTGAAGATCGAGGCAGGAGGGCGCCTCCACTTGATCCGCGCACTTATCGACCCGTGCGCTATGACCTCTTTGATTGCGTTGGACCTCGCGCAGGAACTCCGCTTGGGTGTAACGGAAGTCACCAACCAACTAGGCTACTTCCTTAAACTGCGAGGCAAACACGGACAATCGGCGATATTAACGACGCATGCGGTCGCCATTAAAAACTTTGAGAGACGAACGCCGGTATCTAATCTCGACGCTACAATCGCCGGATCCTACTCTAACCTAAAACTTGCCGATCCGGGCTTCCATATTGCTGCGCCAGTTCGCCTAGTACTCGGTGCCGACGTCTTCGCGAAAATTATACTAGGCATTCTTCCAGCGGGGACTATGGGCCCGCTCTTAGCACAGAATACCATCTTCGGATGGGTGCTCTCTGGCGCCTGTTAACCATAATTTGTTCTTACCAATTATTGATTTTTTTTCCTTGTAAATACTTACTCAATACATATTAACACACAATGAATTCCATGAATGAATAAAAAAGTGCGAGTGAAATTTTAAACCACGTTTATTTCTTGAACTTTTCTTGTTTTTGATCGACATATAGGTACCGTCGTCGGAGACCAGAACCAGAGGATGACGATTAGTTAGTTACATAAGTAGATAAACGGAGCATGGTGGTTGGACGGGCTGGAAAACATTGCGTGTCGCAAGGGGGGCCGGCATGTTTAGGCCAGCGGCCTAAATTTGCTACACATTTTTCGACCCACCCTAATGTATAACATAACTTAATTATTATGGTTGCTGTCGAGCTGTCAACTACTCTGTTAAATCTGCAATAATCAAACTTTCGTCAAATAAACAGTTCGACAAGCAACCGTAACTAAAATCAAGAACGGTTTACTTACTTCTTTTGCGAGTATCCGAAGAAGAGGACGTCATCCAGCCACCAAGCTCAGCTTTTGTATTTCAAGGTAAGCTGCAATTCAATAATGTGTACATATATATATATATATATATATACAAATTACTTAAGTGAATAAACACTATTATTTTTAGTTATACTAATACCAAGTTTTTTTTTTCTTTCATTAAATTAATCATCGGTGCGAACGTGCATCCAAATCTTGCTCAAGCGTTGCGCCGATGAATACTGCCCATAGTCATCTCGATCGATAAACTAACCGACATTTCAACTTTTATAAAGCTTTGCGGAATTTACTGAGACCACCGCGCACAGTGGTTCGGATAGCAGATCTAGCTGGACGAAAGTCAAATTTTTTTTGTTTTTAAAATACTTAATGGTACTTGGAATACATTCCTGACAATACATTCAAATATAAATTGCATTTATTAAAGCATTAACATATGAAAACAAACAAAAAAAGGTAAGTCAACGCCGCCTATTTGAGAACTCTATTTTAAAAGCTGAAATTTAACTTATAAGAGTGTGTTAAAACAGAAAAATACTTGGAGTTATAAAACCTTTGGTTATGAAAGAGTTAAAAAAATTAGTACCCAGTAACATAGAAATCTACCGATTTTTTTAAATTTTCGTCCGCCATATTGGATCCGCCATTTTGAATTTTTGGTAAATGACTAGATATGTAATCAGCGACCCAGAAAACCCCCAGATACCCAGTTTCATAGAAATTACCGATTTTTTTTAATTTTCGTCCGCCATATTGGATCCGCCATTTTGAATTTTTGATAAGTGACTTCAGATTCGTAATCAGCGACTCAAAAATCCCCTAGGTAAGAAGTGGTGTAAAGATCCATCAACGAGTATTTGTTTAAATAGTTTCGTCCAGCTAGATTTGCGATCCGAACCACTGTGCCGCGCTCCCCACACCAACCACGGCCACCTTGGTAAACGTAAGTTTCGCAGGGTTGTCACTGCTGCTGCAGCTCGCTTCGTACCGGCAGGTTGCATCACGGACTCACGTCCAAATTTCCCTGCTGAAGCGGAGATTCAGCAACTAATGAACGTACATAAGCGGAAGGTGTGGGAAGAGCATCTGCACGAGACAGGGTCGAAATTTTTTTCGGCGACCATGCTTCGTCGGACCCAGAGCGATGCGCGAGCTATTTTAGGCGGCAGTTCATACTGCATCCTCCGGCGGACAAAGCCAAGCATCGAGTGACCAGCTTTCACTTTGCTTTCACTAGCGGTGAAGTTCAGGTGGCCATCGGGAAGGCAAAAGCCTCCAAAGCCATGGGTCCCGACGGAATATGCATGTTGATGCTGAAAAATTTGGGTCGTGCGGGAGCAGCGTACCTAACGGAGGTCCTCAACTTGTCAATGGCCACTCTCATCATCCCAGACATCTGGAAGGTGGGGAGAGTGGTCCCACTGCTCAAACCGGGAAAACCAGCCAACAAAAGAGAATCTTATCGAACGATAACACTCCTTTCCCCGGTAGCGAAGACACTAGAGGCCTTGCTACTCCCGTATTTCACGAACCACCTGACCCCAGCGAAGCATCAGCATGGTTTCCGTAAAATGCACAGTACAACAATAGCACTCAACGCCATAAACACTCAGATAACATGTGGCCTTAACCGCAACCGTCCCTGTGAGAGAACTATTCTAGTAGTGCTGGACCTGCTAGAAGATATAGAGGCTTCCTCTCTCCCACAGAGGCTCAAACGGTGGTCGGCGAATAATCTAAGTGGTCGATCCTCGTCGGTAATGTTTAGAGACAAATCGAGCAAACTCAGAAAAATAAAACAGGGCTTCCACAGGGTGGTGTCCTTTCCCCACTACTCTTACGCCGACGATTGCTCCATCATGGCTTCTGGGAATAGAATTGATGACTTGTGTTCGAAAGTAAACGTGTATCTCTCCGGGCTTTCTCGCTTCTTCACTGCAAAGAGCCTAACCCTCTCCCCTAAAAAATCGTCTGCAACCTTGTTCATCACCTGGACGAAGGATGTCAGGCAACTCCTGGGAGTTCACGTCGATGATACACCAATTCCGACGGTGAATAACCCCAAAATACTCGGAGTAACCTTCGACAGTCTGCTCTCCTTCTCTGCGCACGCAACCGCCATTATCAACAAAGTTCAGAGCCGCAACAAGGTCCTCAAGTCGCTAGTCGGAAGTACTTGGGGCAAAGACAAAGAAACGTTGCTGGCAACATACAAGATAAGAAGCCGGCCGGTTTTAAATTACGCAGCACCAGTGTGGTCGCCGAAGACGCAGAGGATGAAGCTACAGACGACACAAAACACTGCCCTTAGGACAGCGACTGGATGCCTTCTGATGTCGACGCAACATCACCTGCACGACGAGGCGAAAATGCTCCCTGTTAAGGAGCATAACACAATGCTCTGCAAGCAGTTTCTGGTTGGGAGCCACAGACGTGGTCACCCAAATAGACAACTGCTTGCAGAAGAGCCCCCGCCCAGGCACGTCAGGAGGCATCTCTACGAACTGACGGACGAAGTCCAGAGGTTCATTAAGCAGCCTCTGGACCCGTCAGCATATCGACTGGCCCTGAATGGCATTCACAGGGAGTCAGTCTCCAGTTATGTAGACTCCAGAGCTGTGAATGCCGTTCTAGGCACACAGCCACCGGACATCGACGCGACGGAGCTTCGTCTGCCTCGGGAGACCAGAACTACAATAGCCCAACTTCGCTCTGGCTACTGCAGCAGGTTAAACTCATACCTGAGCAGATTAGACGCAAATGTGCCAAATGAGTATCCGGCATGCAGAGAGACACCCAACGACTCGAAACATCTCTTCATATGCCCGGAAAACCCCACAACACTAACGCCTTTGTCCCTGTGCACCGA